TAATTTAATTATTCGTCGTTACGTTACGCTTTAAATAACTACTAGGTTTTATATAGCCGTATAATAATCTCGGCGTAAGCGTAGTACGGCCGCGGGAAAAGAAATCAGTATTTTAAAAGTAGTAAAACGCTATTACCCTGTTCCGCTTCTCGCGCTTTACGCTTATTAATACGGAGGTAATATATAAAGGAGTATTTATAACGTTAGTAACGATTAATAATCTAAAAGAGCTAACGAAACGACGGCCGCGCGTTTAAAAGCCGTAGTACGAACGAATTACCCTTATCTTAATCTAAGCGCCGGCGCGGCTCTAGGTTAACCGTAGAGGCGTAGTAGCTCTAAATACGAGCGTAGTTTTAACGCTATTCGAAAGAGGTTATATTAGGTAACGGATTACCTTCGAATTAAAATAACCCGTAATAATACGTATTCCTACGCCCTTAAAATTCGTATCGATATTAATAATCGCGTAAGCCGAACTTCTTAACTAAGACGATATTACGGAAGAGCTAATTCCGAGCGTAAAAATACTACGCGGTAATATAAGGATTAATTTTTAATAGCTCGCGGGATAAGCGTATGCGTTAGATTTTAAGGAAAGAAAGCTATTCCTAAAAACGTAATATATATTAAAAAAGGCTCCGTTAGTAAAGATTAATAAGGCTTAAGGTAAGAAAAGCGCTAGGAACCCCGAGGCACTTAGTAAAAGTAACGTACTCGCGTTTTCGTTTAAATTAAAAAGGCCGCGTATCCTTTAAATAAATTATAACGCGCGTAATATTCCTTAATAACGTATTAGCCTCGGTACTTTTAAGGTTCTTTAACGCTTACTCGAAATCCTACCGCGTAATCTATTACTACTAAGCGCCTTTTCTCCTTACGAAATATTTACTTATTACTATTACTTATTAACGTATAAGTATATTAAGCGCGATAAAGCGGAAAGTAAGGTATTACGCGAATCGATTATCGCGTTAACGTATAACGTATTATACCTAATCGTCGAAATCGATCTTACGTTACTTTAAATATATAAATTTAACTTCTTTACGCGGAAATAAGGTAGGAAACGCTAGTAAAAATAACGTAATTAAACGTATAAATTCGTTAATAAGGATTTAACGAATAAAATATATAGATAAATAATAGGTACCTATAAGTTTAACGGAATAACCTTTAGAAATAAGCGTCCCCTTTAATTCTAACTCTAAACGTTTTATTTTAATTTACTTTAACGTAACGTTTAATATAATAAATTTATCGTATTAGGCCTTTAATCCTTTTAAGTCGCCTTCCGTAACTAGGCTAGCCTAAAGCGCTTAACCGTTATCGACGAAGTCTTAAATATTAAGCTATTTAAAAACATTACCGTCGTTAAGTAGCTCTTTTAACGCGGCGCGATTCTATTTAAAGTCTTTATAACCCGGGTAATTATATCTTAAATACTTAAGCCATATCTCGATAACGCGCCGACGTATTCTAAATTTAATTCGAAATTAAATTATTTACTCGGGATTCTACGCTAGCTCGCGTAGGCGTAATAAAACGATATTAAAATACTAAAGGAGGAAAGAAAAATAGTCGTATACTTTATTAACGTTACGTATAAAGTATACGACGTAGCCGCGATATTTATACTATTAGCCGCGGATTATAAGTATATTTATTATTACGTAAATCCGCGTAATAAGTAGTTCTTCGATTATTATTAGCTTTAGTAGTAAATTAAAAGAAGAAAGGATATTAAAGTTAAGATAGTTATTTACGTTAAAAAAAAGGGCTTATTTACGCGCCTTTTTTAGTCTTTATTACGATAACGCTTATAAATACCCGCGGTATTTAGATTTATATTAAATTAATACTTCCCGTAACGATTATAATATTTACGTCGTTCTTACTTTAGCGTTAATTAAAACCGTATTAAAATCGCGTAATCGGTATCGCTAATTATACTAACGTCGAGGTCTTCCTCCTACCGTAGCGGCTTAATTATAAACGAACTTTAACGATTAAAAACGCTACTAAGTTCTTAAGAGCGAGCGGTATTTAAGGAAAAGGTTTAATTAAAAGGTCGGCTTAGGCGCGGTTACTTTCGCGCTAGTTTTAGCGTAAGGAATTCTAACGTAAGAGGCCGTAAAGATCGGCTTCGACGTACTTATACTTACTTTAGTATTAATTCTAGCGTAAACGCGCGTAAAGGTCGGCTTCGACGAACTAACTCTAGCGCTAGTTCTAACGTAAGCGTACGTAAAGGTCGGCCTCGACGAACTAGCTCTCGCGCTTATTTTAACGTAAGCGTACGTAAAGGTCGGCCTCGATAAGCTAGCTCTTACGTAAGTACTCGAGGAAGTCGCCCCCGGGGCGCTAATTCTAGCGCTATCGTTAAATCCGCTAGTTATAATTATATTATTAACGAAAAAAATAAAGGAATAAGAGAAGGATTACCGTTATTACGTCGGGTTACTTTATACCGTCTTCGAATTTATTATCGTAATACGTTACCTACGCGTAAAGCTACCTCTTTAACGCTTAAATTATATACCCGAAGCTACGCGGTAATAAAATATAATCGATAATAGGTAATATTTAATCGCGGAGCCGGTTAAAGCGTTTTAAGCGTAAGATCGGATCGGGAATCCTATATAGAATTAGCGATAAAATATAAACTACTAATATAAAATACTAACCTAAGTAAAACGGCATATGTTTTCGCGGTAAAAGAAATAATTTTTTATAGATATAACGTAATTTCGTAAATTAATAAATTATTCGATGGTTTAAATTATTCCGTAAGTACGACATTTTTTAATTTAAAGCGACTTTATCTTAATTAAACTAAGGATAAATTATAAGGATAAATTATAAGATACGGAAAAGAATAGGAATTATATAAATAAGAATAGAAACGTATAAATAAACGCGTTAATAAATATACGTAAGGATTTTAAGGGATAATAAAGATACGTTAAATAAGAAAACCTTTATTTATTCCGCCGTTTTTATTAGGTATACGTATTTTTAGGGACCCATAGCGCGTTTTTTAGCTAGTAAAAATAAAGTTTCCCCTAAATAATACCCCTTTATAGGGTTATTTATAGGGTTATTTATAGGGTTATTTATAGGGGTATTTAATCCCGTAATTAATTAGTATAACAGGGGGTTATGCGTATTATAACTATCCTCCGGATAGGATTATAATTGCCATTGGATATATACGTACCTAGGGTATTCGTAGACGGGAGGCGGCTCTTACGTCTCGGCGCCTGAACCATCCCTGACAACTGATAACAGCAGCGTTATCGACCCTAGGAAACACGTTGAACTGGCCAGGCGAGACCGGGCGACGGATAGAAGAATGCGGCCGCGTAGCATGACTCTTCTTCTTCTGCCTTCCACATATAACCTACCTAGTAGGGCTGAGGGCGGGCTAGAACACGGCGTCGCGAGTCAGGCACGCTTCCAGCACGAAGCGTTCGTTCAGCGTTCCACGACCGGTGACGGCAGAGCACGGATCTACGTCGTAGGTATTACCTAACACCCACTAGTACCTCTACCTTAGGTGCCTAGGTAGGTACCTACCTCTTTTACCACGTCCGCTTAGCCGCGCGCGTTCCTCGGCGATCCCAATATCCCCCCGCGTCCGCGGCCAGGAATCCTTCTGTGTTATTAAAAAGGCAAAAAACCAAAAGCCGGATTTCCACGCGTTGTACAGGCGCGTATCGCATTGAGGCCACCCGCAGGCCCCGGGCGCCCGCCTCCGCTGGCTGCTGCTCGATGACGACGCGGCCGCGGTACGCCCAGGGGCGCCGGCCAGCGCCGACGTGGGGAGCCGAGCGCGCCCGGGACCAGACGGCATCAGGTCTCGGTTCCGAGCCGCGACACGCTGCGTCCGTAGTAAGCAGCGTGACGTGTGTCTGCATGTGTGTATGTGATGTGCACGCCGGCCGCCCACCCGCTCCGGACATACCTACCTACCATACAATAAGCCCAGAGAACACCACCTGTCCTCGCCCAGGGGTCCGGCCCTACCGCCCAATCGTCGGGCGTCGGGCTCGCGCCAGCCTGCCTGCGCTAGGGGGGGCCTAGATAACGACGTACCCACCGCCAGAGCGACTCAGTTCTCCCCCCGGCGCGCGTAGGCAGGTAAGGACGTGCGTGGGAGGAGAAAGGGAGCCCAGGGGGGGGGGGGCCACTTGGCGATGGCTCGGGCAGCCAGGGAGGTGCGAGATCTGCAATTCTCCCTTGCTTACCTGCTTAGGAAGCTTAGCGAACTTGCCGTCGCTAATGCTGTCTCGAGTCCTGTATATTATAGGTACTCGCGTAGGTGCCGTTTCTCCCTCTTCTCCTCTCCTTTCTACAGCGTAGTTAGTTGGTTCAACGCTGCCGGGTCACATCTATAGTATTTATATGCGCACAGCTACATTAGGAGGTAGTGTCTCTATCAGGTACCTACCCTCCCTAGGTACCTGTATACCTAGATTCCTTCACGATAGGTACGTGCCGGGTAGAGGGGCAGCCGCCGCAAGCGACCCCGTGTTCCTGTAGCGTCTACTTCCGGCGCGAGCAGGTGGTGTATTTGTCCTATTCTCTTGTCTACGAGAAACTCGAAACCGAAATGCCGATGTTTACGCCAACCACGACGACGACGATGACGACATTAATAATATCCAGGTAGAGAGGGGTGCGTAGGTAGTCTTTTCGCCTGGCCACTACCAGCCGTATGTACGAGCCGGTTGGCAAAGTAAAGAAACGACAATGACGACAGTCAAGATGCCACCCAGCTCGGGATCTCCCGTCGGCCCACGAGTAAGACAAGATCTGCTAATGTTGTTGAAACGAATAATAAAAAAATGTAGGTATGCAAATGAGGCCCGCCAAGGAGAATGGGAACCACTCTCCCCTCCACAATGCCTAATATTCTTTCTCTTTCCTTTTGTTCTCTCTCTCTCTCTCTCTCTCTCTCTCTCTCTCTTTTGCGATGCGGACGGAGCCTCTATAAGAAAAAACTCCCAATGCTACCTTGCTGACATGACCCGTGCCCGTACCTAGCCGCCCACGTCATTCCGCTACGACGAGAAACAGATCCCTGACTGAGAATGATACGACGGCGCATCCTTCTCTAACCAAGCCTCCCGAGGAGTGGGGGCAGCCCTTTCGGACCTGTGACGGAACCTTGCTTGAATCTACACGATGGGGCTCGGGAGAGGGGGGAGACACGCAGCCCATTCGCGGCTACGGTTTAGATAACGTGGCCCCCACCGTATCACGTCCTCGCCTCCCACGGAAGCGGGTACGTCCTCACCCAGTCTGCAACCTCTGCTCGCAGCCGTATGATTTCCGGGTCCTGCTCGCCGTCGCCGAGCGTTTCGAAGAAAAACTTGAGGTTATACTTCTTGTCCTGATTCTCGGCCGTTTTGCGTGCCGCCTTATCGACCCGGACTGCGATCGTGACGGCGCGATCGATGATATCGGCCACCCGGACGAAGTCGCCTTGCGAGAAGCCGCGCGTCGTCATCGCCGGCGTACCGATGCGCAGGCCGCCCGGCACCATCGCCGACTTGTCTCCAGGCACCGTGTTCTTGTTGCTAGCCACGCCGACCAGCTCGAGGAGCCTCTCGACTCGGGCGCCGTCGATCTCCTGGGGCTTGAGGTCGACGAGGACGAGATGGTTGTCCGTCCCTCCGCTCACGAGCTTGTACCCGAGACCCCCGCTGGACTTAGCGTCGCCCAGGCGCTTCGCTAGGGCCTGCGCGTTCGAGAGGACCTGCTCCTGGTATGCGCGGAATTCGGGCGTTTGGGCCTGCCCGAGCGCCACGGCTAGCGCGGCGATGGTATGGTTGTGAGGGCCGCCCTGGTGGCCGGGGAAGACCGAGCTGTTGATGGGATTCTCTAGGTTGTACGGAATCTCCTCCTTCGTCTTAGGGTTGACTCTCCACACTCCTCGTCGGTAGAAGATCAAGGCACCTCGGGGACCGCGCAGGCTCTTGTGACTCGTAGTGGTCACGATGTCGGCGAAGCTAAAGGGGCTAGGAATGACCTTGGCCGCCACCATTCCGGAGATGTGCGCGATATCGGCTAGCAAGTAGGCGTTCACCTTGTTGCACGTCTCCTTTATCGCCTTGTAGTCGATAAACCGGCTGTAGGCGCTGGCTCCGGCCACGATGACCTTGGGCCGGTAGATCTGGGCGAACTCGTCGAGCTTTTCGTAATCGATCAAGCCCGTCTCTTCATTGAGCCGGTAGGGGACGGTCTCGAAGTACTTGGAAACGGCAGAGATCTTCTTGCCGGGAATCTGGTAGCCGTGAGAGAGGTGGCCTCCGTGAGGAAGGTCTAGTCCCATGAGTCTGTCATGGGTTTCCATGACGGCCGAGTAGACGTATAGATTCGCCGGCGCGCCGGAGAGTGCTGTTTCGCGACGGTGAATAGCTCACGTATCAGTAGAGACGTCCCTTCCGGAGGGTCACGGTCGGGGGTGGGGATGGCGAAGAAACGGAGACTGACGCTGAACATTCACACCCCATTCCTTCTTATCTAAGCCGAAAGCATCGAGGGCCCTCTGCTGGCACAGCCTCTCGGACTGGTCGATGAACTCGTTACCAGCGTAATACCTCGCCCCGGGGTAACCCTCCGAGTATTTGTCTGTTTCTCGGGGGTTAGCGCGGTCCATGCGTTTCCGATTGGTTACGATTTCGTTATCGTACTTTGCATGGGGCTGCCGAGCGCATCGAGGACGGCTTGCGAGGTGAAGTTCTCGGAGGGGATGAGGTTGATGAAGTGTTTTTGCCGGTTTTTCTCCTATTGCCGCTGCCCGTCAACAGACATGCGTCGAATGCAAAGGCGCAGGCGTGCGAATAAGTAAACACAGAGAGAGATATAAGTACCTTCTCGATGATATCGAATACGGTCGGATCGGCCTCTTGTAGGTGGCTCGAGAGCAACTATAATATAGACGCATTAGCCACCTCTTACATCTGACAAACGGGAGAGACGCGAAGAAAGATCCACCCGTTGCGTACCCGCTGCTGGATGTCCAAGACGGTAGACGATTGGGATCTCTTCGCGACGCATAGGACCGAAACAGACGTTGACGTCGGCCATCGGGATGTTCTAAGGAGTCTGGGCGAGGAGGAGCGGAGAGCACCCGAGGTGCTCCGGAGCACGGAGAGTAACATGATCAATTGATCGGCGGGTCCGATTTGTCTCGGAACCTGGAGGGGGGGGGGGGTGGGATAGGAATTGGCGCAGGTCGGGGGGCCGCGATGGAGGCAGCAGAGACACGATGGTTTCTGCTTCCTGGGTCCGAACACAGACGAGAGCGCGGACCGAGGCGGGTATCGAGAGTGGCAGACCAGGGAGGTATCCGAGGCCGAAGGCTATGGGCTCTCTCTGTCGAGCGAAGAGGAAAAACAAGACGGGGAAACGGGCGACTTCATACGGGGGTGACTCCCTGGGAATACCTGTGTGCGAAGCTGTCTTGCGCTCCGCCGGCTAGCTGGTGCTGCTGGTCCTCTCTGTCGAGGCTGGATCGGTGCGGCGATGTCCAGGGGAGGTGATAGGGCGGGATGGGGTAGGATGGGATGGGCAGTTCCGGCGGAGTATCTCAATACTGCGGGAGAAAGACGAAGAAAAAAAATCGGCAAGCTCATTACCGTAAATCCCATAGGTAAATTCCCCTAGACCCGGTCGCGACGTATGTATATATGTAGCCGGTGGGTTGGGAGGTACCTACCTCTGAAGCACCACCCTAACCCCGCGTATACTTAGGTGTGCATGTACATAACCCTATCTACATTAGGTGCAGGTACCTAACTTAACCTACCTACATAGGTAACTATCTCCGTACCTAACCTACGTATCTCCGCCCCTTACCTCCCCTATAAGCCACAGCAGACTCTGCTAAATACCACCTTTAGGTGGGTTAGGGGGGGGGGCCATTTAGGGGACACCTACCTAGGTACCTAAGTATAGGAGGTAACATGGACCTTAGAGGTGGGTAATATCACGCAATCAGCCCTCGTAACCGCCTATCTCTATCACCACCTCCTCCTGCTATCTGTCAAGGGATACCTAAAGGTACCCGTCGCTCTGCGCAGGTAACAGAGGAGATATGCGAGATAGGACGATAGGACAATAGGGAGATAGGGAGATAGGAAGATAGCGAGGAGGCGCCCATGCACCGCCGACATTTATCAAGCCGCGCAGTTTTCTTTCTCTCCCTTCCCTTTTTTTTCCCTTCCCCTCTGTATCAACTAAATTGGACGTGACGAGCTCCGCTTCGACAGCATATTAGGATTTCCGCCGTCTGCCTCTCTTCTTCTGATCATGATGAGGAAGAGAAAGCATTCGGCGGGAGCATGCTGACATGTCTCGGGCGGCACCTCACCACCTTGAAACGGGACACTTTGAAGATTTCTGATCCAATTGACGTTGATCCGAATTTGACACCATCGTCAACCACCCCCTTTCCTCCTCCTCTCCGATGCCTACACCCAACTTCGGTTTTTTCCCTCAACACTACCTCAACGATTGAATTATCTTCTTCTTTCTCTGTAACCTTGTGGGGGTGGATAAGGTGGCATAAGGCATTCTGTGCTCGGACTTGTACCTGGAATCTCAGCGAGGACGAGAGGGCTCGGTCGCTGAGTGGACGTCCTCGTAACCTCTCCCAGTCTCACCCCAAGGTAGGAAGCGTGGGGAATTACCATCCCATCCGGCCCGCATAGGGCGGCGGGACCTACGTAGCGGGATTTCCGTCGGCCAACAGGCCACGTCGCCGACGCGTATACTCCTAGTCGACGTGCTCTATTCTCCAACACATAGGTATCACGGCGTAGTTAGGGAGAGGCGTGGCAAGAGACAAATTAGGCGTCAAGATCATTGATTCCGTTTTCAATGCCACACATGCAAAGCCGATGCCCGGGGGTAGAAGGATTACGACCGAGGGGCAAGGAAATAGAGAGACCCAACCATGTACTCCGAATGCAGCCGTCTCAGCTTCCTGTGGTCCGTATGACGACATCCCGAGCTGCCTCTCTTCTGCAGCTCGACTGGCGTGCATATACTGCTTTTCCCCAGCCATATCTCCCTTACGCCTCCTCCTCGGCCTCCAGCGCACTCCGCTTCGCTTCTTGCCGCTTCAGTTTGCGCTCGCGGGCAGCCTTGTTCTTCTGTCGCTTGGCGTCCATCTCTTCCTGGAGTGCACGCTCACGAGCCTTCTCGGCCTTGGCGCGGTGAATCTGCAGCGAAACACGTTAGCGGGGCCCCAGTCTCACAGAGGTGCAAGGCACTCGGATTCGATTCGTGCTTTCTCCGTAGGGTTGATGGGACGAAGGCGCAAGAGTAGAAGAAAAATATAAGATGGACGTACATGCTCGACTAGCGCTCGCTTGTGCTTGAAGGTGTTACCCTTGCTGGCGTGATACAGCTCGTGGTAGAGGTGCTTGTCAATTTTGCCGCTAGCACGGTACTTGACTAGGAGGCGTCGGAGGACTCGGAGACGTCGCATCCATAGAACTTGTCTGCATGCACGAGTCAGCTGTCGGTTTCCGGATCCCACAACCTCGAGCCACCGTTCGAGGGCCGCTCCCTCTCTCTTCCGCCCTACACGTTCCGAATCACGAACGCTCCGAGGCGGCCGTCCGGCACGCAGGGGTGGGTCAGACATACTCAGGCATGCGAGCGTCGGCGGTACCCTTTCGCTTACCGAAGCCTCGGTGTCGGCCGTCGCGTCGGGAGAGGTTCAGCTCGCGGGCGCGGGATCTCGAGTGCATGGTGACGGGCTTGCGGATGATGAGGCCATCGCTGACGAGTTTCCGGATGGTCTGACGAGAGTTGGCGTTGGAGATCTCGTTCACCTCGTTCGGGTCCAGCCAGACCTTGCGCTTGCCGCATCCGATGACGGACGCCGCGAGGCGCTTCTGGGTGCGGAGATTGACCCTGGGTAGGAGAGGAAAGACGTTAGCCTATATTTCGCCGACGGACGCGCGGCTACGGGTTTAATCGTTGGCGATTTGCTAACGACACCACCTCGATACGTGAACAGCGACCGATTTCGACGGAATCGAATGCGATATCGAGGGGAATCGAAGCATTTTTGTTACTGTATCGCAAAAAGGGTTCGGCGCGTAGAGCAGCGACTCACATCTTGGAATGCCGATAATGGTGATGGTCGAGGTTTTGCTGTTGGGGTTAGTAGGGACAGAAGGAGAGGGTTGGAAGGTTGAGGTTGATTGAGAGGCCCCTCCCGGTCTTTGCACACAGCGAGAATTTCTGACTTGAGAAATGGAACAGGGGAAAAGATTTGTGGACTGATGACTCCATTTGAAAGTAAGCGAGAGGGCAATCCGGCCCATCACGTGACCGAGATGGCACTGTCCAGGTTTGGGCTTGGAAAGCCAAAAAACAAATAAAACTCTTTAATGCCAACGTCACTCGCTAAATTCATAAACTCCATAATCCATTCCAAGCTTGCTGGTAAATCTACCCCCGTTACCTACCTTCGCCCCTAGCTCCCCAGCTGATATGAACACGAGACATCATGTGCCTGAGGTACGACGATGTAGGCACCTAGGTAACAGGCATATACATTTCGTTCGATCTGTCCCGAGTCCTAAAGATATTTTTGCCGCCTTCTTGGTATTAAGCCCCCTTGAGCCGTCCCCGTAAGAGATTTACTACGCAGTGCCGCAACCAAGAGGATAGCTCAGTATGCCTATCTCGCTCAAGATGGTGTAGTAAATCAATAATAGATCGGTCACCTGCTAACGCGACCCCTTTTTAAGCAATGGGATCTAAACCGATCGCGTAGGGGCCGTGTATTCCTTCACTCACCCGTACAGGAGACAAAAGCGTAACAAAAACGGGTTATCTACCCCGGCATGTGAAGCTCTCCATCATGATGCGACTATGTTCGTGAAACACACCTACATACACGCCCCCCGGCCCTCCCTTTACTTCTACCCCTTATCGCGATGGGGCGACGCCGGCCGGCCTAATCTTGAGAGAAGACACCGTCCCCGATCTCCACCGAACCGACGCTCCATATCTCCTTTTCGTCTTCAACCTCGTCGTCGCTCAAGCCTAATCCGCCTTGCCCGCCTTCGGCCTCTCTCCTCTCCCGAGCCTGGTTGCCGAGTCTGATAGCCACCCTCTTAAAATAGTCTTGTATGCTCCGCTTGGTGTTGGCCGGGAGATCGGCCCCGGCGCCGCCGATATACTTATCGAACACCTTCGACTCCTCGTCGACAACGCTGAACAATTCTATGAACGCCGCCTCGGCCGCTAGCTTCACAGGGATGACCGGGTCACGCACCGAGGCGAACACGGGCGGCGCCAGCAGCGGGAGATGGGGGCGAACCATCTCGAGGTTGTTGCGCGAGACGGTGCGCACGATCACTAGAGCTAGCCGGCGGGAGTCCGACGGGTTTCCCGGTCCAATTATTGTCGCGAGGCTAGAGAAGATCGGTTTGGTCGATTCAAAAGACTTTGGCGAGTCTGTCAGGAGATACTTGCCTGTTGCTAAAATAGTGTTGTCCGCCACGAAGAGCTGCGCGTGTTTCGTTAACCACGTGTGATAGCATGCCGGTCGGGAAGCTTACATTTTTGTTCGACATCCCCTGGCACAGCAAAGCGGGAAGCTCCTCGGCCAGGGGACTCTCCAGAAGCGTTTGCGGCGACTCGACGAGGACTGCATTTAGTGCGAGTACTGAAGCGTTGCTGAAGTGAGCCGTTGCCACGCGATTCTTCAACAGGCCATTAGCTATATCGGCAGGTACGTTCTTAATGAGCGCGCCGAGGAGTTTGGCATTGGTCACGGTCATCGCGGAGTCAGTCGTATTATCCGTGTCCATATCAATCAAGCTTAGGACTGCCGTCCGCGAGGCCTCACTCATGTTAGCGCCAGCCTTACTTATAACCTCGTATAGCGCCTTTAGCATGGCCGTCTTGACGCCTTGGTCCGTTGTCTTCGAGCCGGTGACGAGCTCCGCTATCAACGGATCCACACGCGGCGTAAACTTGATCAGAGTGCCCAACGCCTTGGCAGCACGCGACCGTAACAGGTCGCTACCGGTATCCGCCAGCGCCCTCGCAAATGTCCGCTGGAGCTGCGGCAGGAAGGGCTTGAGTGCCGTCGGCATCTTTTCGAGTAGATTGTTTAGTGTTAGGAGAATTGCCGCTTTCACATCTGTAGATCGCTCGGATACCACACGAATAAGAGGACCCGTAATCTGCGTGACGAAAGGTTTGAGGGAGGCCTCGCTAGTTCTGTCCACAATATCGGATATGGCAAGCGCAGCGCTGGTTCTCTGCTCCGACGCCCCGTTCATGAGGCCTTGTAGGAAGATAGGTAAGATAGCATTGATACCTTTGGGTAGCTCGAAGCCTGGTAGATCCGAGCCCGCAACGCCCACCTGCAACAACGTCTGCCTGGTCGACGGCACAAGAGCCTCCATCTCCTCCTTCTTAAGTTTCTTGGTGAATTCGCTCAGCGCTGCCCACGCCGCCTTGACGACGTCTCTGTCCCCATCGTCGAAGGAAATCAACAGAGCACGGATGATATCCTGGTTGTAACGTGAGTAATCCACGGTGGAATTTGAGAAGAAATTAGCAAGTCGAGAAGCCGTCACGGCACGCTTCCGGTGGTCGTCGTTCTTGACTAGCTGCAGCAGGACATTCATGGCGGTGTTGAGTCCGTCGTACTCGTCGATCGATTGTATGACAATATCGAAGGAGCCTTCCAAGTCAGTACGGAGTTCCTCATCTTTGGAATTGACGATGTTATCCATGAGAGAATTGATAATGTTGGGCAGGCGACGGTTCATAGCAGTGCCCGCCACTCGAGACAGAGATGCCAACGCCTTGGCATTAAAGGCAGAAATCGGAGGTGTTATCAAAGTTGGGATGAGGTTTGGCAGAATGATATTGGACCGAGTTGTCTCCGTGAGAAGTGTTAACAGGGCGGATAGCGCATTATCTGCGTCATCCTCGGAGCGTAGAAGGTTAAGGAGGTATGGAAGCACCTGGTCGATGGCACGCTTGCCGACGATCTGCTGTAACGAATCGAACGCTTCGGCAGCGGCCTCTCTGACATCTTCGTCGGAATCCGTGAGGGCTGTTCTCACCACGGAGATCAGGGTCTTCTCGTGATCTTCCAGAGCTTCTTCGGACGCTGACGCTATGAGTTCCTTCAACGCTAGGCAGATCCCTTGCCTGGCATCCGTGTCGGTTGAAGTATGGAGACCTTCATCAAGTGTGGGGAGCAGGCTTGATAGGACGCCATCGCCGGCCTTTCGTATGAGTTCTCCTAACGCGTTACTAGCGATCACCTTGTGTTCCATATTAGAACTTCCCAGGCGGCGGATGATTAGCTGTGTAAGAGTGGGCGTGAGCTCCTTCAAGGTTCTCGGCGTGGCAACCAAAGCTTTCCATACACCCACAGCGGCCGCGCGGACGGCACTGGCAGTATCGCAACGGCAAATGTATAGAGCGGAGAGGATCTTGTTGCGTTTCTCTTCGCCAAGCACTTCGCGCAGTGACGCGCCTGCTTCCTTTGCGTTCTCTTCTTCATCTTCCTCCTCCGCCTTTCCGCTGATACCAGTTAAGTTGAAGAGGAGGTCGCCCACCAGCTCAACGGAACTCAACCGGATCCTGTAGCTGTCGTCTGCTAAACCTCGTTCTAGTTCGGGTAGTAGGAGGTCCACGGCCCTTGCTGCGAAATTCTTGACCAGCAACCGGCCCGCTCGCAAAGCCGTTTCGCGAATGGACTCGATATCATCCGCGAGGCCAGCAAGGATAGGTGGGATGATCTTGCCTAGGTAGTTAGCAAAGCTGTTACCGAAGCAGACCGGCAAGAAGATGAATAGCGACATGAATCCCTCTCTGACAGCAGGCTTTGCCGATTCCACGTTTTGTAATATCGTTGGTAAGGTCTCCTCCAACCTCGTGGTGCCCAGGCCGGCGAGGACCTCGCTGAGAGCCTGAGCGGAACCGAGACGGTCCCCAGCACCGGTATCTGATTTGAGAGTCTGCATGAGCCCCGGGATGAGATCGGGGAGAGCGTCTTCGCCAAGCTTCTCGACCAACGAGCCCAGCGCGCGTGACGCAGTTGCTCGGGTCGTCGGAACCGGATCCACGGCCGCGACTTTCAGGCCCGATACAAGCACAGGTAAGTGTGCTATTAGGTCTTTCCGCTCGGTTAGATGGGCGAGACTTCCAATCACCTGGGATGCCTTGCGCTTGGTATTCGATCTGTCTCCCAAGCCGCGCTGAAGGATCCTGGTAACAAGGGCCAACGACGGCGCGTCCAGATAGTGTACGAACTGCACCTTGATGAGTGCGTCCAGAGCATCGTCGGTGTACTTGGTCGGATCGCTAAGGGCCTTGAGCAGAATATCAACCAGGTTCTTAACCTCGGGGTTTTCGATAACCTCTCCGAAGCGTTTCAAGCTCTTGTTAGCCGCGGCGCGCACCTCTTTATGGCTGTCGTTTAATACGCCGGTAAGCGGCGGTATGATGTCGGGCAAGCTTTGTGCGAGTTGCTGGGGGTCCAAGTACGCCATGGCGCCGAGGAGATCGCAGGCACCACGTTTGCTACGCCACTGGTCATCGTCCAGGCCGTTAAGGAGCGTCGGCAAGATCTGTTTAACACCGTAAGAACTCAGCTTCGCGAAGCATGCTTTGGCGGCCGCCAGGCATGCGTCTCTCACGTCGGCGCTACTGTCGCCAAAACCAGTCAAGAGCTGGGGTACGATCTGGATGACATAGGGCTCGAATAGACGGCCGAGGAGCGAAGCTAGGAGCTCAAATGCGAGAAATGCGCCCTCTCGCTGTTGAGACTCCTTCCTGTTTTCGGTCGCGCTCTTGAGTGTGATGAGGATGCGATACTCTCTCAACACCGATATTCCTCTACCTTGGACGAAACCAGCCAACCCGTACGCGGCACCGCGTTTCTCGGCATATCTTTTGGAATTTAAGAGTGTGTCGAGAAGCTGGTCAAAGTATTTAGACGATTTGTCAGCGCAAGTCCGCACCAACGGCGGTAAGCATTCTGCCACAGCGTATTGGACCGCTTCGGACGGCGTGCTTAGAGTAGCTAGCAGTCTTTCTAAGACAATTGGAATCTTTGTATCGCCGGGCTTGAGATGCCTAGCCAGGGCACCATATATGACGATGACCGCTTCGTTAACACGATCCGCGGCCTCCGAACCCTTATCAGGGGCACCCAGTGTGCGCTCAAACGTCTCCATAAGTTTGTCTAAGAATTCTTTACCGTGAAGGTCAACGGCCACAATCCCTGCGTCGAGCATCTCGCTACGCACTACGGCATTTTGGTCCCCTAGAGGGCCTTCTTCAATGAGGAAGTTGAAAAACTCGTCGATCTGCGACTTCTGTAGATAGGCGGCGAGCTCTCTGAAGGCGGCTGCAAAACCGTGCCGGGCCTCCCAAAGATCCGACAAGTCGGTCTTCTTAGGCATGCCGAATTCGTCCAGCTGGGGAACTCGAGGCTTGGAAAACTCGACATATGCGGACTTGAGTCTCACTAGCACGTCCTCGATAGCCTGAGGGTGAGCTCTGCACGCTTCAGCGAGGGATCGCGCGGCAGCTCTCCTGAGCTGGGCATCTTTGCTTTCGAGATACGGAATCATCTTGAAGGGCACGTCTCGGGAGAGCTCGAACCCGCTCTCATCCCAAATCTCGCGGGCTACGTCAGAATTCTCGCCACTTTCATCGTGGCAGCCGATCCAGACTTCCTCGGAGAAATTCAGATCGCTCATGTCCACATCGGCGCTGATCGATTGCAGCACGGTCTCGCGGACGGAGACCTGCGAGACAATCACGCCCTTTGCGAGTACAGCTATCTCGTCGTGGTTTATGTTCGGTGCGACACATCGAACCATATCAGAGAAGCAATCCTTGATGATCTTGTAATGCTGGTTGTACTGTTGCATCGAGTTGATCAAGGCGGACAGTAAGTCGGCGCGAGGGATACTTTCATCGGCGCAGATATGGGTGTGGGAGGCGAGGAACTCTATGGCCAAGACCAGTTGAGCGTCGCGTTCGTCAGCGCCGGCTCCGATGCCTCCCGTCCGCAGTATCACAAATATCAGAGACAACATGTATATGACGGAAACAGCATCGAATGGCCTCTGCTCTCCGGCGAAGCGAAGACGGTAGAGAACCCTCGTCACAAGTTCTTCTAAGCCCTCTTGGGTCAAGTTTTCGGGGATAGCAGTGACACCAAGAGCACGCAGCGTTGCGACGCCGATAAAGGGCCGGATAGCTCCTAACCGGGGCGTTACGAGATCGGAGCACGCGAGGTAAGCCGCAGGGCCAGCATCGCCAGTAATGGAACTTGCGCCAGCCTCCAAAGCACTTAATAGGGCACTAATGGAGGGCCCAATCCATAGGTTCGGCTCGGTCGTTGGGCTATGAACGAGGCTTCTGATGATGCCAAAACCACGCATCAGCCGTGACTCTAGCTGCTGGATGGATCTTCGAATGACGGATTCCTTTTTTAATTGAGCATTGACCTTGGCCTGCTCGTCGGCGGTTAGCTTTCTCTGCTGCCCCTTCTTCTGCGCCAACTGGTTCCTCAACTCCTCCTCCCACTTCAAAGTGTCGTAGTCTTTGGTGTTCTTGTCGGGTAATGTCTGTTTCTTTGTGAGGACGTCTATGAAAGCTGTGCCTTCCGGTGTTCGAAATATTGCGGCTTCGACCGGGCCAACGTCCTTGAGCTCCTCTGCTGCTAGGTCTGCCCGAATTAACTTCACAATCCTCGGTGTTATGGTGTCTGGTGCTACGAAAGCAAGGTCTGCTGCCGCGTTGTAAGCGGCAACCCTAATCGTGTTCAACTGAACGCCTGTTAACATCGCAAGCCCGCTGGAACGGTTAGAAGCAGCTGCTTACCTTCTGGTCGAAACTTGTCTTTTCTGTTATGTGCTGTATTAACTCTTCTTCGTGCTCTTTGGCCAGACTTCCAGGATCGAGGCCGACTCTCAGGCATAGGTCTATCCAGCTCGCTCTTGTTATCAAGTCATCCCGAGCGATGACCAGGAACGAGCACAGCTGGGTAGCGAGGAGCTCTTGATTCCTCCGTGCGCCCAGCGCCTCGAACTCGTCACTAGTAAGACAGATGGAGCGAAGGACAAGATGGAGATTCGTATTGTCAAATTTTGCACTTGCCGCTATGCTGTCCTTATCCTCTATTTGTGAGGATTCGATCCATCGCCATAGAGCATCCACGGAAACCCTAGAAACGAACGCAGGATTTCGGACATAGAGTTTTGAAATATTCTCGCAAGTTTCCTTGCGGATCTGAACGGGAACGCTGGTAGAAGACACAAGGTAAATCAGAGCCTGGAACCAAACTATTTGGACATTCACCGGAGCTTTCGATACTTCATCGTAAACGGCTACAAGTGCCCTGAGAAACCACCTCGCCTCATCCTCCGTAGAAATTCGGCTGTAGATTCGATGATTAAGGAGGAACGAGGGCTTGGGGTCGGCCACAAGACACTCTTTCGCAACCGCTATCTTCTTGAGCACAGCCTTAAGGCTAGCGCTATCGATCTTCGAAAACACTTGTATGGACACCGTAGAGAGGACGTAGGCGCCTATGATTAGCCCGTTCTGAGCTGCCACCGAGGGGTTTTTGTTAATTTCGGCCCAGGTGTCCGTGATAGGACCGGCTATCGCCTCCGCTAGTTTGGCGGCATTTGCCGGGACCGGGCCGGCTTCTTTCGCAAAGGGGATAAGCACGTCCCCGATGTGGAGCGTCCATAGCCTACGTGAGGGTGTCTTCTTGTCTGCTAGACCTTTGGCGAATGCATCGATGACAGGTTTGGGCAAATCAGTATCATCGTTCAAGAGATAAGAGACCGCCCGACTAAGCGCAGAGATCTCCGCGGCAAGGGCCCCCTCGTTTCCTTCTTTCGCAGCGACAGGAGGGAGACCATTAGCAATCTTCGTCGCTGTCGGGGCGGATAACGGGACGTGTTCTAACATTTCCGAATGGAGCACGCGTTGGTCTGCGGAAGCTAACTTTCCGGACTTGAGCGGGTTAAGCACTTCGTCAACGACTTGCTCCACGATCTTAGCGTCGCGGCTTCGAGTAACAGCTATCCTGAAGACAGCCAACACGCTCTCTCGGGTAGCCGGATTGCTAGATTTGGCATTCGATATCAGGGGCTTTAGGAGGTGCCCACGGAGTATCAGAGAAAGATCTAGGCCATCGGGGAGGAGGCGGAGAAGCGAGGCAACCAGATCCAAGACCACTTCCGGGGCACGCAATAAGCCCTTCTCCATCGGTGGTACGACGTCCGTCGCAAGCTGCTCCGGCGACAAGAAGTCAGAGAAGAAATCCTCAAGACCAGTAGCGATGTGGGTGGGGATGGGTGTACGAGAGCCCACAAGCTCGCGAGTGAAGAAGGCGAAGTAGTCAGGTGCTCTCGCAGCTAAGACGTCCTTGGCCCGGGAGTGGCGAGAGCACACGCCGGCAATTACCCCTAACATGGCAGCATTCTTAGCTGTCGGCTGGGCCCCCTTAGCTGTCAAGGTTTGTACGGCGTCCTGAATGAGCTTCTCTCGGAACTCATTACGCCAGAAGGCGGCGCGCAAGCCACGACGAGTGACGACTAAGGCTGACTGCGCGACGCTCGGCCTAGCCGACTGGAGACATTTCTCGAGGGCGGCAGCGTTGGCCTGGATAACTTCCAACCCGAATTGGTCCCACAGGGGAGAGCCGGCAAGCTCCCCCAGAAGAACGGAGCACCACTCAACCAAGACGAATGCACTCTTGGCGGCTATACCGGGCTTCTGGGACTCGGATCGTAGAGCGGAAACGAAGGGCGCCAGGACCTTCGCGTCGGTAGTGGTCTCGAGAACGGCAACAAGGCAGGTCTCGGTAGCCTTCCTGGAAGGGCGATCATCATATAAGGAGTGTGTATCAAAGAGCAACCGCAATAAGGCTGGCACGACGGACGGATCGATTGCTACAAGGGAGACGAAACACGACCGTGTTAGTATTGATATTGGTATGCACTCATATCCCAAGACAGGTTTTCGTAAATATGCGTAAACGTATATATACAGAGAGAGGTGGATGTACGGGGTATGTACGAGGTAGTCTTACTCTTGTCCTTCAACTTCTCGTCGATCGCTCGCAAGCGGGCTATGCGCGTCTTGGTGGAAGAGGAGAAGAGGGCAGCCCGGGCCGAGGGCAAGTCGATGGCTTGCTGAAGGGCACCATTCGCAGCCTCTTCAGTCATTTTGGCGATCAGACGGGAGGTCTATGGACATGATAGGTGGGTTGGTCGGTAGGTAAAGACAGAGAAAGCGAGGGTACAGAGAGGGAGGTAGGTAGGAGGAAGAGGGCTTGTTTTCAGTCGAAACCGAAGCTCGCTCGCTCGCTCGCCTTTTCTCTTTTTTCTTCTGCCCTTCCTGCTGTCTTCTTTCTCTGGACGGGCGCGCACAACTGGTGGATATTGTGATAGAAGCCCCCCCCGGAGGTGTCGTCTCAGGTAAGAGTCAGGCCGGGTGGATGTCGTGTGGGGTTGAAAAATGCAAGAACACTTACACCCTAAGCTTCGAACCCCCTTATCTTATCAGCTCCGGGGGGGTACGTGAGTACTTGTTTCGATGTTCATACAGAGCGCTGGCGCCCGTTACCTGCACGCCACACCACCACCCGCCACAGCCCACAGCGCTATATGCCTCCCTACACGCTGGCACTATGTACACACCTACATCCACTGTGGCCCACTATAGCCTTCTGCAAGGTCACCTTTACGCCCTTGAGAAAGATACCCCCTAGGTACCTACCTTTAGGTACTGGATGCCCCCTAGGCTAGGTAGGTACATCGAGATTACAGGCTACAGCGGCCATAACGTCCCTGTTCCGTACCCCCCGGTACCCTGATGGTCAGAGCTCGCAGCTTCGAAAGTCACGAATCTCAGCTTCCTTTTTTCCTCTTCTCTCTACGACTCACTTACATCCCTTCTACCTACCTCATATTCCGCCCCTCCTCTCCCACCTTGCCGCCCCCTTGAAATTCTTTATTTACGGGTTTTTTTTTGTTTCTTGGTGCAGACCGTGCTGGCTTCAAACTGTCCCCTTCGTCCTCCTCTTCCTTTTCCTGTCTTCCTCTTCGTGGAAGCTTCTGCCTTTATCAGCACGAGCCATGGGCCCGAAGAAGAAGAAGACGAAGCCGACTGCGAATCCGAGTCGGGGATTTGCTACTACGTCGATCGCCTCAAAGCCGAGAGCTGAGAACCCGGTGAACGAGCCGGTGGTGGCTGCAAGCCCTGCTGGCGACGGCAAACCCGCTGCCCCTCCCACCTCCGCCTCTCGCAACCCGAATGCCCCGCCATCCAATCCCGCCGCCGACGCAAAGTCCCAAAATCCGCAGCAAAATGCCGCGTTGAGCCCAGAAGAATTCGAGAGGCAGCTGGAGGAGTCAGAGCTGCAGCTTCTCGTCGAAAAATACGCACAGAAAGCCAAGAACGACGCCCAGCGCTACTGGGCCAAGCTCGAGACCGACCGTCGGTTGCTTCGCGGACAGGCAGAGGCCCTCAACACGAGGAAATGGCTGCCCCAGGAGCTCATGGACCAGATCTTGGACCTGATACAGGCCGAAAGCCGCTTTGGTTCGTCCCCGGCGTCGGAAAATACCACCGCCAACGGAGGCAAACTACTCCCCGAGGAAGACCTGGTTATTAAGCTGTGGATCCTACAGCAGACCTTGGCCAACACCGCATTCCCCGACGACAAGGTTCAAGGTGCGCTGCAGTATGTGCTGGACGTTGCCCCAAGCATCAATGGCGTCGCTAAGGATAGTGTATGGGGGTTGGAAGACGCGCTGGACTGGCTCGCTCGCGAATGCACGAGGGACGAGTTACATGACTACGACTACAGGGGCAAGATCGCCAAGTCCCGAGCCGATACCCCAGCGGACAGCCCCTTGCCCTCGGGCGTGAATACGCCTCTTCTCTTGGAAGTCAACGCCGCACAGAAACCGCTCAGCTCCAAGAATAGGCCCGCAGGTCTGAGAACGCCGAATTCCAAGAAGCTTTCCGTCGTTTGCGACGACGATTTCGAGCCCGATGAGCTAATCCCAGCCTATCTCGACGCCAAGGCTAAGCTCTTCCAGCTTCAACGACCCCGGCAGGCTAGCAAAAGGGGGAAGTCGGCGAAGAGCTCGGCATCAAGCGGTGCCAAAACCCCCGCCGCGGAAGCGCCGCCGGAGGATCTAGAAGAAGCCAAGTTGCTAGCCAAGATCGACAAGATTGAGCAGGACATCCTTTTTGATAGGGCTTCCGCTGAGCAGCAATGGCGTGCGGGTAATATACGACTGGAGAGGGAATACACAGCCACGAAACAGGCCGAGGCGCATGCCAAGAAAGAAGAGAAGGCGCAGCAGTTAGACGGCGACGGCGACGACGACGACGACGACGGCGTCACCAAAGAAGCCGAGAGAATTGCTGCAGAGATCCTGCGACAAAATGACGACGATGATGATGATGACTTTCTCTCCGATCTTTTCGCCGATCTCCCAGTCCGAGAGACGGACGATGTCACGGGGGAGACTCGCACGGTAATCAACGGAGCAGACGGTATCAAGGTTACGATTCGTGACTTCGGCAAGCCTGCCGGGTTCAGCCCAGTGCGGATTTTGGAGGAAACTTGCCGCTCCAGGTATCCGGAGCTTCTCTCTCTTTTTGTTGTTTCTTTCGATAACTAATGCTCCGTCTAGGGATTCCGGGGTAAAAATACAATATATGATGGTATCTCAAACAACTTTTTCATACCGTCACCTTGTATCTATCCAGTGGTCTAAACCCCAGGAGACTATCCCGGCTCCCGATATTCCGTCTATCGAGAGCGCCATATCCCCTCAGCAATATGTTTTCCGGATGGTCTCGGTCGCGACGCCCGATGCAAACCAATCTGAGGCTTACGTCGCTACCTTGGCTCTTTTTATCATATTTAATTCCACAAGGGAAGAGAAGGCCTCCATGAAACTTCCCCCGGCCTGGAGAGAGCTATGGTCGGAACTTGCAGAGAGTAAGAAAAGTCGGGAAGACGCCGTCGACCGCTTGGCTATCAAGGACCTTCGCGCAATAGTTCGGCAGAAGCACGACCAAGAACTCGAAGACGGCGTCCTCCTTCAGGGTGCTTTCAGGGGCCGCGCCGCGCAGCGCAGCGCAAACGAAGCAGGTGACGAACCCACCACTGATAGAGGAAATGCTAGCGGGCTTGGTCCCGACTATTTTCAAAAGATCTGGGCCGATAAGTCGAGCACTCCGAGATTCCAAGCTATGCTGGTGAGTGGTCTGCGCAACGCCCGCCTCGTATTGATCTGACTGTCCGCTTTTCAGCAATCCCGAATGCAGTTACCAATGTGGCACTTTAGGGATCAGGTTCTTGACGCCGTCGAGCGCGAACAGGTGGTCATCATCTGCGGAGAAACGGGCTGGTAAAGTTGCCGTCTGTCCCCTCCCGATAAAGCATTCAGCTCTGCTAACGAGACTTTGAAGTGGCAAGAGCACACAAGTGCCGTCGTTCCTTTTAGAACACCAGCTTTCCCAAGGTCGTCCGTGCAAGGTATACTGCACGCAGCCTCGACGAATATCAGCCGTCTCGCTGGCTCGTCGTGTCAGCGAAGAACTCGGCGAGGGGAGAGGCGATTTGGGCACACCGCGGTCTCTGGTGGGCTATTCCATCCGCCTGGAGTCGAATACGTCCAAGGAGACGCGGCTCGTCTATGCTACGACGGGGATAGTGATGAGGATGTTGGAAGGTTCCAACGACCTCCGCGAGATCACCCACCTCGTCCTCGACGAAGTCCACGAACGATCAATCGACTCTGACTTCCTTCTCATCGTACTCAAGAAGCTGCTCGTGCGCAGAAAAGACCTCAAGGTTATCCTCATGTCTGCAACTGTCGATGCCGAGAGGTTTTCAAACTATTTAGGGCGGGCCCCGATACTGAACGTTCCCGGACGCACATTTCCGGTGCAGGTTAGATATCTAGAGGATGCTCTCGAGGCTACTGGTTACGTACCTGATCAGCACGACCACGAGCAGACGATAGACTTGGACGACGACCCAGCCGAGGCTGACGCTGAGTCTTCGAGCAAAGCTACTACGGCTGCTGTCAAAGAACTCCGCCAGTACTCGACCAGGACTCGCAATACCCTCGCCCAGTTTGACGAATATCAGATAGATTTTGAGCTCATTGTGCAACTCATCGGTCGTATATCGGTTGACCCGGGCTACATCAACTACAGCAAGGCAATTCTCGTCTTCCTTCCCGGTATTGCTGAGATCCGGACCCTAAACGACACATTGCTTGGGGAGCCTTTCTTCCAAAGAGGCTGGGAGATATTCCCCCTTCACTCCACCATCGCTACCGAGGATCAGGAGCGAGCTTTTCTCGTTCCGCCTGCTGGAACGAGGAAGATCGTGCTGGCGACAAATATCGCCGAAACGGGTATAACTATCCCTGACGTAACGTGCGTCATCGATAGCGGGAAGCACCGCGAAATGAGGTTTGACGAGAGGAGACAGCTGTCGCGCCTCATCGACACTTTCATATCGAGAGCTAACGCGAAGCAACGACGCGGCCGAGCGGGGCGTGTCCAGGAGGGTCTCTGCTTCCACCTCTTCACGAAATACCGCCACGATAACCTCATGACCGATCAGCAGACGCCAGAGATGCTACGGCTCTCCCTGCAAGACCTAGCCATGCGCGTCAAGGTCTGCAAGATCGGCGGCATAGAGGAGACGCTAGGGGAGGCCCTGGATGCGCCATCGGCAAAGAACATCCGCCGAGCCGTCGACGCGCTCGTCGACGTGCGAGCTCTAACCAATTCCGAAGAGCTTACTCCACTAGGCTACCAGCTGGCGAGACTGCCTTTAGACGTATTCCTCGGCAAGCTCATCCTCCAAGGCGCAATCTTCAAATGCCTCGACATGGCCATTACTGTAGCCGCCATTCTATCTTCCAAGTCGCCTTTCGCTGCGCCGTTTGGCCAGCGAAACCAGGCGGATCAAGTGCGACGGGCATTCAAGAGAGGTGATTCTGATCTGCTCACGGTATACAACGCGTACCTGGGCTGGAAGAAGGTGTGCCAGGCGTCCAACAACAACGACTTCCAATACTGCAAGAAGAACTTCCTCTCGGCACAAACGCTCTCCAACATCGAAGACCTCAAGGGGCAGCTCCTCGTGTCGCTGGTGGACGCGGGATTCCTCCTGCTCACAGACGAGGAGAGGCGGACGCTTAGCCGCCTGCGCCATTCCGGCCGACGACGCCAGTTCTACGAGCTCCCGCAGCGCGTCAACATCAACAGCGATAACGACGTGATCGCGGCATCGGTGATCGCGTGGAGCTTCTACCCCAAGCTGCTAGTGCGCGAGGGCAAGGGCTTCCGCAACGTCGGGAACAACCAGAGCATCAGCCTCCACCCCACCAGCGTCAACAAGGGGAACATGGAGCTGCGGTGGCTGTCGTACTACCACATCATGAAGTCCAAACAGTGAGTACCGCCTCACCCGTCTCTGTTTTCCTGTATTCGCTATCCCACGTCCGCGCTAATCCGCAACCCCTAGGTTCTTCAACGCCCACGAAACCACGGCTGTCGAGAACTTCGCCATCGCCCTTCTCTGCGGCGAGGTACGCGTAGATGTAAGTTTTGTCTAGCCCGTCCCGCCCATCCACCTATCCATCCTCCCCTGCACGCCACGCGCCAAGCGAACGGAGACCAGCCCGCTCCATCACCCCCGAGCCAACCCAGGGCTAACCGACGAAACAGATGTACGCCGGCGTTATCGTGCTCGACGGCCACCGCGCGCGCTTCAGCGTGCCGGACTGGAAGACGCTGCTAGTGATCAAGGTGCTGCGGGCGCGGCTGCGCGACCTGCTGACGCGGTCCTTCCGCCGGCCCGGCAAGCTACTGACGGCGCAACAGGAGCGGTGGCTCGACGTGTGGCAGCGGGTCTTCAGCCAAGACCTCAGCAAGGCCTAGCTCTCGGCCACCCTACGATAAGAAGGTGCCTCCCCCCCCTCTCTCGTCGGGGAGAGACGGGAAGGGCAGGGGGTCTGTTCATCATCGGCATCGCCCTCGCCTCTACTACTACTACGACGACGGCAGCACCGATACGCGCCACGCCCCCGTCGCCACCGTCTGCCGTAGGATCCTAGTTCTGCTTCCGCGAGAGTCCCCCCCCCCCCCCCAACAAAAAAAGAGAGGTGGACACACGCACACACCGCGGCTGACGACGGCACCGGGACCGGGCTTGCTACCTACGCAGGAAGAGAGAGAGAGCTAAGAGGTACCGCGATGCTGGGGCATGTGGCGCTCGCGATCTCAGGGTTTTCTTTATATTTTTCTTTCGGGTTCTTCTCCCTCTAGGAACGTGGGGGACCGGAGAAGGAAAGGAGGAAAGGTTGAGCTAAGACGAAAAGGGGGGGTCGGAGGGCGGTATGCATATACATACAAACATACACATACAAGAGCGGCGGGACGGGAGGGGACAGGTCAGAAGAGGGGATAAAACAGCTGGAGACGGACGGACGGACGGACGGACGGACACGGGGGGGGGGGGGGGACAGGGATAGATAGATCCGCTCTTGTATGCGTCGCGTGAGCGGGCGAGCGGGCAGGTGCACGCGTACGTGTGCTCGACGCGACCAATCGACCACGCTCTCCCCGCCCGCCCATCGACTACTTAATACCCGCCATCGTAGCGAGTGCGCGTCCCGAGAGGTAGGGACGGTACCTAGTTAAGGGGGATGGGGAAAGGCGGGGGGGGACACGTAGTCTCGCTCGCCCCGCGACAGAGCAGCACGGCACGGATACGGGCAGGACAGAACAGAGCCGCGTGGGGCCGGAGAAGGCTGTGCGGCATTGCGGCCATGCGGCAAACGGACTCACCCCGCCCGGCGCGTGTCCTCGGGAGGATAGCGACGGGCGAGACGGACGGGGTTTCCTCGTAGCTAGTAACTAGTAACTAGTAGTAGAAGTAGTAATAGTGGTGGTGGTGGTGGTGGTGGTGGTGGTGGTAGTGGTAGTAACCGAGAGGTCGGCGTCTAGGCAGATTACGACGATTAAGAAAATACAGACTGACTGCTACAACGGGTTGGCCGGAACTGCTCGGCTGTTGCTCTCTCTCTCTCTCTCTCTCTCACCCCCCCTCTCTCTCCTCTGTGCCGACCCGACCCGACCCGGGTCGACAACATGCGGGACACGAAAACACCGTTAACCGGAAAAAGGGAAGCAAAAAAAGAGAAGAATTTCGTTGCGCGCGCATCCTAGCCTTCCCTCGCCCCCCCCTTTTTTTTAATTACACACACACACACATGTTGATGGATGGTAATGCCGGTAACGACCCAACAATGACGACGACGACGATGAGAGTGATGATGATGGACGGCTAATTCTCGAGCGAGCCTCCCCGACCGACCGTAAGCCTCCCCCCCTCCCCTTCCCTTCCTTTCCTTTCCGAATCCCGAAACCGAATGATGATGCCGTGTGTCTGATCATGCCTGCCTGCCTGCCTGCCTGTCGCGTTGCTGTTCTCGAGCTCCTTTTCGCGTCTCTTCTCCTTTTTTCCTTTTCTTTCCCTGATCCTCTCTCTCTCTCTCTCTCTCTCTCTTTCTCTCCGTTGCTTCGTCGTCTCTTCCCATTCTTGGTTGCTCGCAAGACGCGTCCGCGCTCTCTCAATTAAGTTAGAATGTAATAATGCCCCGGGGTATCAAGGAAAGAATCAACTCCATCGACCATCGTGACTCGATCTCGCGCCAAATATGCTCACTCACTCAACTCAACCGCCTGTTTTTTAAAAGTGGGGAGTCGAAGGGGGAGGGGGGAGGGGAGTGCGTCTGCGAAAAAAAAAAATGCATCATGGGGAAAGAGAGTTCCCGTCCCTCTGGAAATGAAATGCCCACGCGCCACCGTCTGCTGTCTGTCTATCGCCATCTCAAGTCTTCCCGGTTCCGTTCGGCTTAGTATCGGTTACATTAGAGCGTCCACCTTTGCCGCCTTTAGCGCCTCCGCTCCCAGAATCGAGAAACATAGCCTTGAAATCGGCGTTGCTCTTAGGAGGTCCCGCGGGAGCGGACCCACCGCCATTAACGGTTGAGGTCTCGGAGTTCCCTTTGTCCAGCTTCGACAAGGTGAAGCCCAGTCCGCGCTTGGGGCCGGCTCGGCCCAGTACCGGCCTTCGTACATGCTGGGGAGGCGGCATAAAGCTGGCCCCCTTTGGCCCCCCGGTGTTGCTATTCAAAGTAGCAGCGCCCTTGCCCTTGCCCTTACCCGTTCCGGTGATAATCCTATCCTCCCTCTTCTCGCTCCTCTCCTGGAAAAGATCGTCGACGCTGCCGGTGCGTAGCTTCCGTCCGGGTACGATCTCGTACCCCTCCAGGGCCAGCGCCGCTCGTCCGGCCGTCGCGGCATCCGCGAACTCGATTATGGCGCCTTGGTGGTCGGGGCGTAGGACGAGCTTTACGATGTCGCCGTGCTTCTCGGCGACCGCTCTAACACGCGCGTCGTTGACGGTGTCGGGCACGTTCAAGATGGCCATCGTGCGTTCTCGTATCTCCTTCGATGTCGGGTTCTGAGTTCCGTTACGCAGTTCGCCGGGCCCGTCCGACATGGCTACGTCTTCGTCCCTAGCCGGCGCAGGCGATAATGAAGCGGAGCCGCGGTCGCCTCTGCTGGTTGCAAATGGTTTGAAGTTCGTCTCCTTGCTGAGCTCGACTTGGAGGATCTGCGACTTGAACTTGGTCTTGTCGAGTTCGAGGGCGTCCTCGGCCTGGCCCTTCGTCGCAAACACCACGTAGGCTAGACCGAGATTCTTGCCGCCTGTATTGGTGACGATACGCACGCTGACGACTCTGCCATATTTGTCGAACACACCCCGGAGGTCGCCTTCCTTCGCCGAAGGGTCGACGTTCTTCACGCGAATTTCCCGGCCTTCGGCGACGGCTCCTTCGCGGTCCTTCTTGTGGGCGGGATCAGAGTATCGGGATTGCAGCTTGTACTTGCCTTCGATGAGCTTCCCGTCGAGTAAGGTGGCCCTGTAAGCGGCATCCTGGTCCTTGAACGAGACGTAGCAGAAGCGACGGTGGGTGTTGAACTTGAGAGACGGGAAGCGAACGTTGAAGACGTCTCCGCAGTCCTCGAACAGGTCTCGGATGTATGTCTCGTCGGCGGTGGGGGGGTAATTAGAGACGAAGAGGCTTAAGCCGGTGCCGGATCTGACCCGGATCTGGGACCGGCCGAAATATTTGCTGTCTCGTAGGAGGGCCGACTGGACGTCCTCCGGAGATCTAAACTCGATCAAAGCGGAGCTAGACTCGCCGTCCGCCTCCCTCCGCACGTCTAGGTTGTTAATGTGCCCATACTCTCTAAAATACTTGCGGATGGCCGTCTGCGTCACGTCTGTGGGCAGGTTGGTGACCATTATCGACGTGTTTTCTCGGTCTCGCTTCAGCTTCTGCTCGTTAGCCTCGTCGGCGGCGGCTTCTGCCGCGGCGCTCTTTGCTCGCTTGTTCGTGCCCGAGGACACATCGTTAGGTGTCTCTTCTCTCTTTCTCTTAGAGCCAGGAGACTCGGGCGCCGCGGCACCCTCCGCGGCGGGGTCGGAGGTTCCGTGCTGCTGCCGAGCCTGCTGTGCCTGGGTAGCGTAGGCTGCCGCCACCTCGGCGCTCTCTCGCTCGCGGCGCTTAGAAACATCCTGCCGGGCTTGGTAGACGGTGTCGAGAGCGCGGTTGAGGGTCTCCGGCGTCTCGAAGTCGTTGCAATGCTGTACGTAGACGTCTAGGACGCGTTCAGGCCAGTCTAAGGTCGTCCGCGCGATAGCACGCTGCAGGACGGCGGTACCGAGGCTCGGAACTCCCTTGCTCTTGGTGCCGCGCACCGGCGTAGCGGGAGTGGGGCTCCTAGGCCGCGGCTTGGACGCGTATATCATCATCTCCCAGAGGTAATAATTCAGCCAGAAATCGTAGCTGTCGCCGAGCAGAGACTGGCCGGCCATCCGATCCCAGTGGCTCCTCGCCTCGTCGATCTCGCCCTTCACCTCGGTAAGGTACTGGATGAGGATGCGCTGCAGCCTGAAGTTAGGGTCTCCCCGGTAGGCATCCTTGTAGAGGCGTTTCCCCCATAGCTCGACGTCCTCCAGCGCGGAGACCAGGCCTAGTTGGGCGACGTCGGCCGCATCCTCGGGAGCGTTCGGGTCCATGGCGGTCCGCTTGAGAAAGCCGCACCAAGCGGTGTACATGTCCAGAACGCTCGACATGCCATGCTTGTCGAGGGCGCCGGAATTCGTAGCGCCATGCTTGATCGATTCGACATCGCGGAAGGACCAGCCTGCCTCCTCGGCAGTCAGGATGTATCGAGACCAGAGGGGACCCGACCAGGGGCAGTGAGCCGTGCTCCGCTGGAGAAAGTCGAGCATGCTAGGGAGGTTGTGAGGCAGCTGCGAGGTCTTAGCCTGACGGTGCAGCTCGGATAGATAGGTGGCAGCATCGCTCCAGACGCCGTCGTCGAACGCGAACACGCCGCTCAGCGCTCTCGAGAAAAGGCCGAGGCCGAGCGAGGCGGCCAGCACGGGATTCCTCGCCTTCTTGACCTGCGGCATCTCCCAGGCCAGGTATTCCTTCGTGATGGCCGCCTGGGCCTCGGGATCGCCGGCCTTGACGGCCTTGCTCAGCCGCAGCTCGTAGGGTTCGCGTGCTTCGTAGGCGGCCTTGGCGTCCTGGGCGCTGGCGGTGACCTCCTTGAACTCGGACTCGTAGGCTGCGTTGTTGTAGGTGCTGAGAAAGCTGGAAAACATCTGCGAGGTGTTGTCCCAGGTGGCGTGCGGGATCTGGAGCCGGTCGCGGAAGAGGTGGGAGATGCGTCTGACGCCGACGGGGGTTCGCGTCCTGGCCAGCTGCTCGAGCTCTATGCTGATCCAGCGGTTCCAGAATTCGTAGCTGTCGTTGATGCGGTACTTGATGGCCTCATAGCCGTCGCTCCACAGGCTCAAGGCGGCGTCGAAGGTGAAGAGCTCGCGGGCGAGCTGCTGCGACTCCTCGGGCCAGCCAGATTCGCCGGTCTGGCAATCGGTGAAGAGCGACCAGAAATATTCGCAGTAGGCCAGCCAGATCTTCAGACTGCCAGGCTCGGAGGAGACGGCCTTCTTGAAGAGCTCGACTAGCTTGACGCGCGCCTCGAGGTCGGCGACGTGGCGGGTCTCCTCGTCGACATATGCCAGCCAGTTCTCCTCGCCCACGGGACTCGCCATTTTATCCTTGTTTCGCGCACCGATAGCGCGGTCGGCCTCATGTGTTTCGCGGCCGGGAGGTGGACTCGTACGGCGAGGTCGGGGATGGGGCCGCGGGCGGTGGTCGGGAATAGGAATTCGGACCTGTCTGTCTCGACGCGCGGGCTCGTACACAGTAGAAAGCAGAAGAGGTGTCCTCTCTCTCTCTGTCTCTCCCACTCTTTCTCACCTCTCTCTCACACGCTCACGCTCTCTCTCACGCTCTCTCTCTCTCTCGCCCTCTCACGCTCTCACGCTATCCTCCTCTCTCTCCGTCTTACCCATGCGACTGAATCAGACGAAACTGCTGGGTCGCGGCGGCTGCGATTGGCCAGGTATAGGTAACGTAACGTTAGGGGCAGGTACGATAGCTTGTCGTGCGGTGTCGTATCGGGGGAGCGAGCGTATGGTAACCTAGGAGCGCGGGCGTAGACCTAGACAGGAGTGTATGGCGTCTACGGTAGGTATTGTCGGCGGGTGGGTGCGGTTCTCATATGTAGGCAAGGTAGTTTTGATAGGTAGATGCTCCCGGAGTGGTAGCACGCGTAGGTATGTGCGTGGGCGTACGTGGGCAGTGCGTGTATGGAGAAGAGGTCTACGTCAGGTATGTGGTAATAGAGAGTAAGAGAGAGGCATGGGCTGTTTTAATGGGTCGGCTGCTAGCTGCTGGCGATGCTGCGCCGTCGTGTGCTCCCCGTGGTGGTGCGCGTGCACTGACGGCAATGGTAGTAGTGGTGGTTGATGGTGGTTGATGGTGGTAGCGGCGGTAGCGGTGGTAGTGGGTGGTGGTAGTAGCGGTGCTGGTGCTGGCGATGGTTAGGGGTGGTGGTGGAGGTGGTGGTGGTTGTGTTGGTGGTGGGTTGGGCTGGTTTGCTGTGGCCGCCGTTGCTGCTATTGCTGGTAAATCCAGACCAAGTGATGCGCCCCCCCCCCCCGGGAAAAGAAATGCGAAGAGCGACGGACTCGGACAGATCAACACGCGACGGAGAATTTTCAGTCGAACAAGACTGGATGGCACGGCTGGGTCTCGAATTTGGGATCGGCGTCCTGGTCTCGGTATTGGGACAAAGAGAGGAGAGTGGGCTTAATTAATTCGGATGCCCTTTTTTTTTCCTGCTTTTCTTTTCTTATTTTCTTATTTTCTTAGGAGATGGATCAGCCACGGATCTCGGTCGCGAACCCCCCCAGCAGTTTGCGGAGGTACAATACCTACCTACCTACCTAGTACTTCTTCCCCTGTAGGCTATCCCTAGACAGCCTACCCGTAGGTACATACACAGGTGAATGCAGGACGTACCCCAGCCAAACAGAGTCCACACATAGAGCTCTATACGTCTGCCTGCACTCTCTCTCTCTCTCTCTCTCTCTCTCTCTCTCTCTCTCTCTCTCTCTCTCTCTCTCTCTCTCTCTCTCTCTCTCTCTCTCTCTCTCTCTCTCTCTCTCTCTCTCTCTCTCTCTCTCTGTCTGTCTCCGAGGCAGTGTTTTTTTTTCTTTCTTAATTGTCCTACTATCTGATCACACATTCCTTTGCCATACCTACGGATAGGCAGAGGCTTATGTCCCTATTCTGCCTCGCTGCCTCGCCAACGTTCCCCCTCCCTCCCCCTCTCTTACATTATTGTGTCTACCCGGGAGCGACGGCGGTCGTAGCAGGTGCCTGAGGTGCTCAGTCGGTCGCTCTATCGCCGCACTTCTCACCGAGCAAGGAGCACGAAGATATTAGGGCCAAGGCCCGTCCATGTGAAGACGAGGATTAGAAATGTGGACACGATAGGATACGATGGGAGGGGGCCGGCCTCCCAGGAAGGGAAACCTGGCTACCAGTTGATGGCCGGCCCACGGTTCCCAGGCAATGGTTGCATATATCGCATGGCAGTATGGCAAAAGTACATGGCGATGCGCGTTCGCGCGGTGGATGCCATCGGATGCGATATACCTACGGCCGGCGAACGTCGTAGGCGCGGAAGCCGGTCCCGCTCCAGAGGACGATCATCTCTGCCAGCTTGCCTCCCTAAGATCGCCATCACCAGCGGGGGCCGTATATTAACTTGCATACCTACATACCTATGCGCACATACACATACACATACACGTACACGTACACGTACACATACACATATACACCTACATATTTGCCTACATACCTATGAGTACATCCATATACATTTACATACCCACTTGCATACCTATTAATACATACTTACATACTTATATACCTCAGATAGGTATCCCGGGTGCCTCCGTCCACAGCACGTGTATGTATGGATGTATGGATGTACGTATGTATGTCTCTACTCGTAAGGCTTTGCCTCGTAGGCGTCTGGAGTAGGTAGGTATATGAGTATGGGGTTGGAGGCGTGTGCGTCTAGAGGCGTGTGCGTTGTGCCTTGTTGATGAATGGTAGCGAGAGGGGGCCTTATACGCATGTAGAGGTAGTTCCGTCATTACGTGCCCTCCATAAGTAAGCCCGGGAATAAGATCTTACGACATCCTGGCGCTACATTAATGCCGGATCGTTCCCTATCTGCGCCGCCTACCTCGTCGACCATTAGGTGCCCTCTATACGAGCCGTGGGGGGGGGCTATTCTGTCTCATTTTTTTTCTTTTTCTATTCTCTTTTCCTTCTCTCGATCCCCTCCGTATGGGAGCATGAAATGCATCACATGCTCAAGATAGATAGATATTCTCTGCCTCTAAGTACGGACACGCGCCCTCGCAGGTGTTACGCACTACGAGGCATCGGCGTCCTGGAGAGAGAGAGAGACGGGGTCTTTTTCCGATATATAATGAATTCGGTGTAGATCCCCCCGCTACTCCACCCTCACGCTTTCTGCTGTATGGAGCAGATCCGTACGCGCTAACCCGAATTACCACCGATCCCTACCTCTCGTTTCCGTGTCTGTACACTGCCGTACATATAATCCATAATCCTCGCCTGGGCTACTCTTGCCTAGCAGGACATGCCAAGGCGAGAGAGGACATAGTGTGGGCGATATGGGCGATATTCCCAGGTTGTCTCTTCTGCTGAGAAGCGGTGCCAGACGCCCGGCAGCGTTCTGGTGGCATTTAATACCCCTTCTAGACACCCAAGCGGCTGCCTGGAGTTGCCAGAGATATATATATTCCCATATACCTATGCTTATCTCTTACGTGAGAGGCAGACACCAGATGTACGTGTAATGTAGAGGAATATATATGTACGGACGGTAGGTAACCTCGAGCGCGCGGCGTACGTAATGCCTGCCTACACCAGCCTAGGCAGGTCGAAGATGGGACGACACGGACACGAGAGGCCCCCCTCCCCCCCCCCAGGCCAAGGAAAAGGGTAGTATGATAGACAGGTTTGGTCAGGAAGGTCTGGAAGGTCTTGGTGGGGGGGGGGGAAGGGGGGAGGACAGGAGAGAACCTGGCCGTATCCGAGGTTCTAGAGGATGGGTTCTAGACCCCATGCCTCCCAACCGCCCCTAGCATCCCCGAATAAATGAACGGATGCGACTGGCAACCGAATCACGACGACGATGCAACACCCCCAATGTCGTCATTTGTCTTACAGCGCCCCCCTGTGGCGGTTCTTGGCTGCATCTGGCCAGGACTGGGCAAGATTGCGGACTGGGTGACCTGCCCAGGAGATGCCCTGGTATGCTTGCTATAGGTAGGTATGTTGATGTACGAGTGCGTTTGGTAGGTAGTGTGCAGATGGGCATGGATGAAACGGACGCATACCTAGGTAGATAATGATACGGTTACGCGCCGGTGCGTGTGTGCCTTTTCTTAGCAGATACCTAGGACAGGACAGAACAGATCAGTAGAGAGACAGACAGAGAGAGAGAACCCCGGAACAGCAACGGCCCTGGGCAAACCCTACCCCAGGCTCTACTCACAGGCGAGGTGAGGGAGGGAGCGGAGGCACACAGACGGTCGCGCAAAGCGAGTCCAGACCCTATCGCGAATGACCGATCCGAGATAACGAGGCCACGTGTGTGCCCGCCTCGTGATATGCAACCTGGCTTAGGCGGGTACCACCTCCGGCGCGACGAGCGAATGCGATCGATACGGCATGGCGAGGCAGCTAGCAATAACAACGCAGGCAGACAGGTAGGTAAGTAAGTAGGCAGGTATATATAGAGGCAGAGGCGTATAGTAACGGCCTACCTACCTAGGAACGAGATGCAGCCGCCGGCGCCGGCGTGTGCGGATACGTGCTGGGGGGAGGATGGAAGAGAATGGCTCGCCTTTGCGTGATGGCTGATGTGCAGGTAATAGAAGGCAGCATACCTGGTAGGTCGATAGGCAGGTAAGTGATGTGTAATGTTTAGGTACTTACATGACGTATCGGACCGTAGGTAGGCCATCTTCCACGAATCCCGCAATCCCACCCGACGGTGATCCCCCCCCTCTCTTCCCCCCCTTGAGACATGCAAAACCTCCAACCCTGGGCCACGTTCGCATAGGCCAGCAGAGATTGTCGCTGCGCTGCACATCTGGCAAATCCCCAGGCGAGGCAAGACAGAGAGACTGCCTACCTACCTACCTACCTGTCTACCTACCTACCTGTCTACCTACCTACCTGTCTACCTACCTACCTGTCTACCTACCTAGGTACCCAATCTAACACGAAAACCTCTGATACATCTACATCCTCCCGAGACCTCATCAGAGAAGGGAGACGGGCAACATTTGCTGTGTGTGTACGTCGGGGACGCGGGAGGTTTGATCCGCATCCGTTCGCACCGACTGATGCACGCCTACATCATAGGCAATCCCCTCCCTCTTCATGCCCTGCCTACCTCTACCTAGGTACCTCCTAACATGCCGCCAGGTAGGTACCCGACCCTGCCACGGCATGTATCTATCCATGCTACGCCCGTCCCATAGGTACCTTACCTACCTATCTCGCCGCGGTGATAGGTACATCCTCCAGCAAAACCTGCCGTCGCAGGCGAGAGAGGCACAGCGAGGAGGCAGCAGTCAGGAGGTAGGAGGTTAGAGGTAGTTATAGAATCCGAGCAAATTTCGACAGATACGCCCTCCCATCGCCGAGCACCGACCGTCCAGTCAAAGCGACGGAGCAATGTCCCCTTCCTGCGTTGGCCCCACGAAGCCGCGTTCCAGGACGGGATGCCCAAAAGACAGATGCCGACAGCTTATCGTCGCCATGCGAAACGCCTCCTCCATCCTCTGCGGTGTCGAGTCGGGACGGGGACCACAGGGCGAAGAGGTCTTGGGTGACATCGGCTAGCGATGGTGAGATGGGGAAGTCCTTCTG